CTGAATAAACCCTTTCCTCCCCAAGTTGGTACTGGTCAGAGTATTTTGTCACAGCAATGAAGAAACAAACTAAGACAGTCCTATTCATTCAGGTGTTTGTACCCAAATGTCCTTCAGTGTAAATGCATCCACTGGAGTCTAAGTCAGCCCATTCAGTGGTTGTGTGTAAGTCCTATTTTCCCTCACCCAGAGGCAATCAGTCTCAAATAGTTCTTAATCCAGTGCTGGCCCACCACCTATTTCTCACCCCTCCTTTGGGCCCTTGTTTAATCGAGCTGACATGGGTCCCGTACTGGATGCCACCACTGCCACCAGATCCCATGAGCAAGCCTCCAGTGGCCTGGGAGCCTCTGGGCTCTTACAATCTTTCCACCTCCTCTTCTGCAATGATCCCTGAGCTGTGAGTGGGTGAGGTTCCATACACCAAACCGTCTCTTCTCCATAGCAAAGTGCAGCAGGAGCTAGAGAAAGGGACTGCAAAAATAAATGTGTTGATCTTGGCTGGTGCATGCAGAGGTTTGGGGATGGACATGTGGCAGGCTCAATCAGCATTCACTGTGGCATTGGTTTTCTATTTAATTTGAAATTATTTGATTTCATAGGTCTCTGATGGCTGGAGAATATAAATAAATGCTTTTTTTCCAAGAGTGACCCTACACTGGCTCCTATAAAGATCCACATTTGATTGCTAGGTTTTAAAGCAAATATGTGTTTCCATAGAGATGTGGGTGACCTAGACCTGGTACAAGTACCCACTTGTATCAGCAATTCAATTATACTCAGTTCTTTTAAGATGCAATGATGTAAACTCGTCTTTAAATATGCACAACCTCAAAGGCGCCTCCATAAAGGCCAGTGTTGTGGGAAGCAGAAAAGCAGTTTAGAAGAAACCCATCTTTAAGCATACCACAAGGGACTGTGTCCCTGTAGAGCACACTGGTTCTCTTCTCCTTCCTCCCCACAGCCTGCAGAGCAAATCCCAAAGCCCAGATGGGTGAGATGACAGAGCTTTACACATTGCTATACCCCAGAGCACCAAACACCTTACCACAAACTCCAAATGCTTAAAAAAAAAAATAGTATGCTTTCCTTTCTTCCTTCCCTTCCATTCATCTCTAACCATCTAGGGGGCAATCCCTCTGAAAAGACAAGGTTTTTTCTTACTATCTGAAAAACATTCATCTAAATCCAACAATGCACCAGGACCAAGGAGAATGCTGGGAATGGTTAATGCTAACCCTTACTGAGTGCTTACTGTCCTCCCTGCGCTTCCCTAAGTGTGTACATGTTCTAACTCATTTTATCCTCATAATAGGCCTTATGGTTTATGGACTTCTGCTTTCAACTTCATTTTATAGATAGGAAGATGGAAGTGCAGCGAGGAAAGACATTCGTGTAAAGCACACATCTAGTAAGTGGCTGAACTAAGATTTGAACTAGGATCTCTGGTTCCAAAGCTCTTGTCCTGCAAAGAGCTGACAGATCAATGATTTAAACATACAGAGAGAGAGAGAGAGAGAGAGAGAGAGAGAGAGAGAGAGAGCCAGATGCAGAGGTGGGGAAAACTGGAATTGGAACTGATATGGTCAAGGTGCTGAGAGGAACAACTCTGGAATGTGGTCTGCAAGTCCCTTACAGAGACCCATCACAAGGATAAAGCGCAGGTTTGCTGTTAGAGGGAGCAGGGCTGGATGCTTCTCTTAACTTTTTAAGGTATCTTTTCCAGAAGATTACATAGTCATTTCCAAAGGAAACATGAGCTGTGTTCTGCAAAATAACCCTGGGCTGGTAAAGAAACCCCTGACTAACCCTGGTAAACAAAACCTATGCATTTACAGCTAATTCAGGAAGGTTGGCTCAGTTATCACTGAATAAACACCCAGTCCAGGAAACTATCATCTACTTAGCACATATTCTAGTTTCAAACTCTCTTTGGTCCCACCAAGTACAAAGTCCTTGTTCATGAAGCCAGAAGTCTCCTAATAAGCATCTAATTATTTTCTTAAAGGAGCAGAGAAAGTCAGGTTCTTCCTACTTCTTTACATGTTACTGATAATGGCTGAATCAGAGTTGTGATGGCTTTCAGAACCAGTCCCTCTTGGTCCTCACCCCAATGGCCCTCACCCCCACCAATCCAGTCAACTGCTCATCCAAACGCTTCCCAACCAACCAGCCTTGACTCACTCTTTCAGTTTCTGGTTCAACGTCGCGCTCTTAGGGCACAGGACCAGCCACTGGCTTCCTCAGCAGTCAGATGGATAACCTGTTCTTCAACAGGCCACCTTTATCAACCTGCATTTACTGCGACCAGTAAGTCATTGGCAATAGTGATGCAGGTGGAGCCAGGAACCTGGGGAAGAGGCAGGATCTTGGGTGTGGCTAAGTAATCAGCAGTGGGCTGGTGGCCTCAGCCACCCAGGGCTGAGAGGGCCTCACCCTCTGAAAGGAGAGTAACTGTTTCCTTTTTGTAAAGCTTGGCAGTATAAGCTGCCTGGTGTTTTTGCTCAGGCCAACGATAGTGAATACCTAATTCTCCATTCGTCTTACCCTGTGGAAGGCAGAGCCATAAGACAACCTGCAACCTTTATGCTGACTGCCACGGAGGTGGAGAGGCAGTACAGGCTGGGACTGCAGTCGTCATTCCAAAGGTCAGTTCTGGGAACAATTGCCTTCTAAGGGCTTCTCATCTTCCGGGTGACACCAGGACTGGTATGTTAACCAATCCACAGGCATGCCTGGCATTGCACCCTAAGTTCTAAAACCTGCTCCTGGTTCTAGACCCAAGTGAGAACATCTGTTAACTAATTTTGCACTCAATGAAAACATGTGCAGGGGTCAGTTTCCCACCCAGAGGGGAGGGTTATCTAGACTTTGCCAGTGAAAGGCTGGTACGACAAACACCGGGCAAGGATATGGAGGTGAAGAATGGAAGGGCTTCTTGTCAGACCACTTTTACCTACAAACAACTTCATTCTATTTATGTTATCCATTTGCTGGTTTGATTTATAGAAAACTAAGATGTTATACACAACCTTGGACTCCACGTCTTTTGGGTCAGTCTGTACTTGATTCCAACGATCAAAGCTTACTGAGCTGATCACAAACAAGCAGTGGGCTCAGAAAGCCACCCTGCCAGGTTGTCTTGTCACCCCAGAGAAGAACCTTACCTCTTCTCTGTTATGCGGATCCTTATGTTAAAAACATAAGTAGTAACTTCACTGAGTCTGAATCCCAGCTCCACCTATGATTGGTTTGGGGAGGTGAACAGGTTACTTGATGGCCCTGTGCAACCATTTCCTCATCAGTAAAGTGGGGATGATAAAAATAGCAGATCTCATTGGGTGTAATGCAGCTGAAATGAATTCATATTCATAAAGTGATTACAAGCGTGCCTGGCACACAGGAAGTACTAGAAAAATACTATAAAAGGATATAAATAGATTCGCAGTAGCCTGTGTGTTAGCTTACCTGCTGGCCTCATTCCACAGGTGAGGACCCAAGGCTCATGAAGGCATGGTCATACACTGAGCCAGTGATGGAGTGGGCCCTTGAACCCAACTTTCTGATGACAAATTTCCCTGTGTGGTTCCACCCTTCCCTCTTCCCACCAAGGCTGCTCCCTGATTCAGGGCTAGGGCAACCCCAGAGAGGAAGAGGTGGAAGCCCAAGGCAAGGGCTGGCTGCAGCAGGCTAGGAGGGTATGAATGCTCAGGGGCCTGTGTCTGCAGATTAATGTGTTCTCCGTGTTTTCAAAGCTGCAGCACAAACAGGAAAAAATCCGCTATTACAATCCCTCTTCCCACAGACACACCTGTTGTAGGTTCTCGTCTTGCAGCTAACCAGATGACATCAGTGTTTTAGTGACCAAGTTCTTAGTTAAGGCACTAACCAGAGAACAATAAACAGTCATCATGCAGGAAGAGCAAAGTTCAAGTAAAGACTTATAACTAAGTAGGAAAAAATCTGAAAAATTATTAAATCTCTGCCCACACTCCTAATTTCGGATAGTTTTATCAAGACAGACACAAGAACCAATGTGGTTTTAGTATCACTGGAGCTTATTCTAATGCAATCCCAAACAGTAAAAACTCATTGTGATCAGTTCTGATATGCTCAACATTCTTGTGGTCATATTTACTATCTTAGCAAACTTTCTCCCAGTTTCTAAGTATAATAAGAAATACAAATTTGTCACCTCAGATATATTGTAATGGGAAAATCAGTAAATGCTTTTAAAGTGATTCACATATATTAGACAATAACAGATTTAATGAATTATAAAAGGAATTACTTCTTCTTAAAAAACCTGTTTCTCAGATGGTGATTAGCACAGAAGCCCACAACTGGCCAATGTACAGAGAACAAGAGGCTTCAGAGTGTTTATCCCCGAATAGGACACCTATATCAAACCTCTGCCTCCCAAAGCTCAGGGATCATTGCAAAAGAAGGGGTGGAAAGATTGTAAGAGCCAGAGGGGGTGGACGACCACAAGGAAACCGTTGAGTTTTCCAGCTGGTTACTCATATAAACTCACTGCAATGGTGACAACATGCACAAGCCCCACGCAAACTTGAACCTGACAAAATCCCAGCACACACATGGGGAAGTGAGTGAGAAACCCCAACCCTACCTGAGGACCTACTGGCTATCAATGGCTGCTGGGGGGGGGGGGAAGACAGTCTCTTTTAAGGATGTGACTTTTGGTGGGCTCCAGTGGATGAACCCATACTGAAAGACATTTGAGGACACAAATTAGACACCGTAGGCACACACATACACACACACATATGTAAAATAGAGTACATTAAATTGGGTGGGGGGTAGTAAGAGGAGGAGTGGATAGGAGAGGGGATCTAAATATCGTCAAAATATATTGTATAAAAATTCAATAAAAAATTAATGAAATAAAAGTCTGCTGCTCTTTTCCAAAGTACTGAGTACAATGCCTGTGATAAGTGAGGACAATAAAGACAGGTGGAAAAGAAGAATGTCCTCCCACGTTATCTTCTCTTCTAGGGAGCACTGAGTGTTTAATTTATTCCCCCGGTTTCTTGCTTTATTCCACACCAGGTGGAGCACTATCACCTGTTACTAGCCACAACACATACTCTGAACAGGGAGTGGTCCTCTGTTTCCCAATACGTTGTTACCATACTGTCAACCTTTCAGTCATTACAGGAGTCAAGGTCTAATCACGAGCACCACTGCCACCACATCTCCCTTACTGGACTCCACGGGTGCCAGCTCCTTAACCAGGCAACTCCTTTACTGCCCTCCACTTATTTCTTCTCTATGTAGAACTATGTACTCAAAACAACTCAGTAGTTAAGTTCTGGTTCTTCTCCATAAAAACCTATACATCTGCCTAAGAAAGACAAATCTGTCCATTCTTTGGAATATTAGGGGGGAAAAGTCATTGACTTTTTTGCACCCACCCAATGCAAAGACATCTGGCCACTAAGGTTGCTATGACATACTCATGTAACACCAGCAGAAGTCCTAGTTTCTGCTGCTGTTGACACCTCTATGCCTGTTAGGGAATCCTGGAAACCTTTCCCTTGACCTGCTCTGTCTACCCTCTTAATTTATAAGACAAAAGGCCAAAAAGCAGCTATCATGTTCTTTCTACTGTGTGAGCTCCAGCCTGCCCTGTGGCTCAACTCACATTGGGGAAAATTTAGGAAGTGCCAGATGCTTATGATGGTCTATAAACCTTAGCAACATGTACTGTAATTTCTTCCAAATCATTTTCCTAAAGATTGAATGAATCGAAATTGTTTTTTGTACCATGGCTCAAATATTGTGAGGGTCTCTCAACTACATACAATGCCATATATTATTTCCCATTGGAAGACTTTCTGTTAGTCATTCAATCCACCTTAAAGCAATTTTCAAGTGTACCTGTAGGTTTTGGTCACCTGTTTAATAAAATAGATGCATCTTTCACAGACTCGATCCATTTGTACCCATTTTTGGCAAATTTATAAACAATCAGGTTGTCTTGTGTTTTGTTTTGTTTTGACTAACGCTAACAATTTCATTAGCAGTTGTGAAACATGTCCTTTGAGTGTGCTTTGAGGGTGAGAATACACTGTGTGATGTGAAGAGATCAGAACCAAGATAAAGTGGAATACAACAGAATATTAAACAAACCACTCTGAAAAGACAACTTCTAGAGGGGTGAATGGCTTTAGCTTAGTTTGCTCTAACTGGAGAGGGTTTCTGAGATGAGGCATACTTAGTAGAGCCTTGGGGCAGTACTGGTAAAGATGGAAATGGCACTTGGGGAAAGAGTGAATGGCCAAGTGAAACCTCTCTGGTAGAAGCAAAGTTGTCATGACCGAAGCCAGAAAGAAAAATCTACCTGCTTAGTGTCCAGATGTCAACTAATATAGTTATTGGTGATCTACTGTGCTATCAGATGCAGTGTATTTGCTTAATTGCAATGCAGTGTACATTTAAGATCAGCTTCTGCAGGGAGATAAGATTAGCAGGCAGCAAGCAATTAGATGGCATCAGATGGCAGCATGCAAGGAGGTGTTAGATGGTGTGGCTCCAGTTATACACTTGTCTTTGGCAAGAAGTTAGTAATACCCTGGTTTCATTTGTCCTTTTAGCAAATAATTTCCTTCCCATTCTCACCCCAGTTCTCCTTCATATCCATCCCCCTAAAGCCCCGTCATTGTTGGTTACATAGCTCTGAGTCTTTCCATTTCCACCATTATCCCTGAAATGCTGAACTGAAAACGGGATTTAAAAAAAATTATTTCAGTATGATGGAACTTGATTTTTTGCTCTCCCAGTTTTGTAGAAGTATGTGCTTTAACCTAATATTAAGGGGCTCCATAATGAAAGCCACACAGCTATGTTTCACATGCCTCCAGAAAAGCAACTCATAACTTTTATTTAAAATTTCACTTGGCTTTATTTTTACCTGGTTTTACATCTTGGGAGATGACAAACAGCTAACATGTAATTTATCAGACTCAAGTTTGATGAAGAGACCAGACACTGAGAAGACATTCCTGTTTTGTTACACGCTTATTTATTTAACTATATGAGGAAGTATTAGAGATGGAAAACATCTGGAAATTAATCTAGGTTTTTACCTACTTGTAAATGACTACCAACTAGATTTAACTTGGTCTCATTTTCATTTCAAGCCTTCAATAAATACATGTTTAGGTAGACTGAGGCCATTCTAGACTCCCCATAAAGAATGTGGGGTAAGGACTAAAGAAAGACTATAAAGGTATGTAGTGGTCACACTATTAGTTGACATTGGGAAGATCCTGAATCCATGCTGCATGATAGGAAAAATATCTTAATTTGGCTCTGACAAGGCATTCT